CGAATTCAGCTACGCTATTCACGTAGCTGAATTTGCGTATCTTAAACCGACTCCCCGCTGTAGTGTAGATGTACCCTCTGACCACGGTAAGGGCACAGCCGACCTGCCACTTAAAACAGCATGTGCGCAGGGCCGGATTTCCAATGAGGCACAGTAGGCACGTGCCTAGGGGCGCCGAAGAGTTCAAAGTTTCATTTTTCCGGAAAACACAAGGTCAGCTGTCGGTGGGGTGGCGCCTAGGGGCGCGTAAGGTGTAAATCCAGCCCTGCGTGTGTGTGCACACACATTTCAGCACAATTGGCCAGGTTACTAAAACAGCTCAGCTGCTGCTGCTCCCTTTCTTCTCCCCCCGAGGGCGTTGCCTGCGCCCAGGACTGCTCACGGGCACCTCGCGTAGAGCACCTGCACGCCCAGCATTGCTCTGCTGTCTTACCTCCATGTAGTTGTACATGGCTAGATCGGAAATGGCATGGTCGTCGGGCACTCGCAGCCGGGAGAACTCGGGCAGGCAGGCACCTGGGGAAGAGGGATCAGTTCCATACCAGTTAGGCTCCAGTCTGCTCCCTGGCTCTGCCTTCTGTCCTGGTCCCTCTCCCAGCTCCTCCTGTGGGAGGGAGCGTGCCGCGTTCCAAGCCAGGGAGTGGGGCGTTCCATGGTGCATGCACTGCTCCCCAGGGCACACGGCACGAGTGCCCGTCGCTCGACTGAGCCGGCCTCTCAGGAGGTGGCTCGACCGAACGCCAGCTTCTGGGACTACAACCCAACAGCTGGATCAGCTCCACCCTCTGCAGAGTGCCTGCTCCATTAGCCCTGTGGGCACTGGCTCACCCCCAGCTGCGAGCACCATGCAGTTCCCAAAGGCTAACGGGAAGCTGCTGCGGTGCTGTGCTGGGTCCCGGGGCTGGCACGAAGCTCTTCTCTCTGCCATGAGTCTTGTCTGGCCTTGTCTCCCCGTCCCCTAGCCTGTCTTCTTGTCCTGCCTCGCTTGACTTGCTTCCTACGCCATCCAGCAGGCCACGCATGAGCACAGGGGCTATGGGGCACGTCGGCATCAGCAAGGAACGCAGAGTGGCTCCAAGGAAGGCGTGCTGCTCCCAGCCCACCAGGGCAAGGGGAAGGGGCGATAGGAGTGAGAGGGGAGATGAACCTGGGGAAGGTTGAAGGGGGGGGAGGCTTTGGCACATCTAGCGCCATGTGCCCCTTCCTGGGGATAATTAGATACCCCAGGAGCCTCCTGGCCAAATGGTTAATTCCTGACTGTCCCTCACAGTAAGTGTCTCCCTTGATCTTCTGGGTAGGTCAGAGGCCGTCCCTGGGAGCACCCATTTGGTGACTGATGTCTGATCAAACTGCCCGGAGGTCCCAGCCAGGTCTGTTTGCCATGCCAGGGATTTACTCACTGAGATCATTGTGGAACTGGTCCATTAACTCATCGAAGACCAGGCAGTCTTCAAATCCCTGGAAGACACAATAAAGGGAAAATAGCTGGCAGCAAAAGCCTGATTGCTCCTAAACGGGGGTTGGCAGGCAGGGGGCAGGCAGGAGCACTGGCCTGGGCTAGACCTGCTGCCCGGGCTAAACAGGTTTAGTGGCTGCTCAGGGTACGTCTACACAGCAACAAAAAAAACCCCGGCAGCGAGTCTCAGAGCCTGGTCCAGTGGCTTAGACTCACGGGGCTTGTGCTGCAGGGTTAAAAATAGCAGTGTAGCTGTGTGGGCTTGGGCTGGAGCCCAGGGCCTGAAACCCGCCCCCCTCACCCAATATCAGAGCCCGGACTCCACCCTGAGGTCACACGTCTACACTGTTCTTTCTACCCCCAGGGCAAGCCCCGTGAGCCTGAGTCGCTTAGCCTGGGCTCTGAGACGCGTGGCCGCAGTTCTGAGGGGAGGTGGGGAGCTGGCTGTGTAGTGGTACCTTAATGGCCTGGGGCAGCAGCAGGGGGCTCTGAACCTGCTCTCTGGCTGGCCCCTCCCTTTCTCAGAGGAGGAGGGACGAGCCTGGCTCCAAAGGAGGTGGATGCAGGGTGCTGCAGGACCAGTGGGGACGAGCTGATGCATCCCCTACACCCTGGGCAGGAAAGAGAGGTCAAGAAAATCCTCCCTAAGACTTTTTGGAGGAAGAGACCCAGCCCTGCCCTCCTGGAGGGAATCCCAGCCACAGTAACAGTGCCCGCTCCCCTTCCTTTGGCCCGGGGAGGGAGAAGAACCAAGAGAAGGTTGAAGACATGGGGCAAGGCAAAGAGAGAGCGGGGGAGAGTGGGGCACCTAGGACCCAGGGGTAGAGGAAGAAAGCGAGGGCAGCTCTGGGAGTGAGAGAGATGTCGGAGAGAGACTCGAATATATTTTTCTATACAAAACCCACTGTGTTAAGACTGGTCGATGGGTCGCACTGGAAAGTCAGGAATAGGCACGTGCAGCCTTAGCCCTGTCCCTGGTGTGGATGTGTTCCAGGACAGGGATTACTGCACTATTTCCCCCCGAGTTGCTAAGCACCCACAACACCCATTAGCTGCAGTGAGAGCACCTTTAAAAATCAACCACTTTTACTGTGGTCCCTACTGTGATGGAGCCAAATCTGAGATGTTAATCTCTGTGCTTCAGTTTCCTCAGATGTAGAGAGCGGGGGTAGCCCCTCTACTGCCCAAAGTGACAGTGACGTGGTTAAGGGCTACACAGCATCCTAAACTGCACCAGAATAAACACACACAACTTTCCCGGGCTGGGATCCCGCAGCCTTGTGGCTCCCGCTTATTTGACCAACCATTGCTTGCATAAATGCAGTGTGGACAGACACCTGCATGAACAGCTGGACTCCATTGCTACAGCAGGAGGCAGTGGGGCAGGGGGAGGATAGGACCTAAAGATTCCCTTCCCTCCCTCCTATGCCCACCCACACACAGCAAGATAACTTTGGGGAAGGTCCAAAGAATCACCCCATTATCGCCCCGCCCCAGCGCCTCTGCTCAGCGCTCTGTTGGGGTGTGTTCTTGGTGGACAGAAGTCCCTTACTATGGAGGGGGAGATATGGCACACAATTGTGGGGCAGACCCACTCAAAAATGCAACACCCCTGAGCACACAGACAGCTCCCCTTTGCTCCACCTGCAGCTCCCAAGGGACCTCAGTGCGTAGCCATCGCCCCCAGGGACCCAGGCTGGTGCAATGGAATGCAGACATGTGACAGATGGCAGTTTCCTGCAACTCCTGTGCAGGACAAACTGTGCTGAATAAAGTTCAACTTTATTGAATGAAGTTTATATATCATTGTGGGCCAGAGATTGTATGTAATTCTCTGGGGGAAGGGGACCACACCCCTCCCGGGACTAAGAACTGTGAGGGTGTGGGGTTAGGAAAATTCATTCAGGTTGTCAAACCTCCCCAGAGCTCCCACCGCCTGGAGAGAGACTCAAATAGACTGGTTCAGACTGGATTCTCCAGGGACCAACAGGCAGAGAAAGGACTTTCAGTTAAACAGCCTGAGTTAAAACTGACTCTGATCGCAGAAGAATCATAGAATATTAGGGTTGGAGGAGACCTCAAGAGGTCATCTAGTCCAAGCCCCTGCTCAAAGCAGGACCAACCCCAATTAAATCATCCCAGCCAGGGCTTTGTCAAGCCAGGCCTTAAAAACCTCTAAAGATGGAGATTCCACCACCTCCCTAGGGAACCTATTCTAGTGCTTCACCACCCTCCTAGTGAAATAGTGTTTCCTAATATCCAACCTAAACCTTCCCCACTGCAACTTGAGACCGTTACTCCTTGTTCTGTCCTCTGCTACCACTGAGAACAGCCGAGCTCCATCCTCTTTGGAACCCCCCTTCAGGTAGTTGAAGGCTGCTATCCAATCTCCCCTCACTCTTTTCTTCTGCAGACTAAATAAGCCCAGTTCCCTCAGCCTCTCCTCATAAGTCATGTGCCCCAGCCCCCTAATCATTTCTGTCGCCCTCTGCTGGACTCTCTCCAATTTGTCCACATCCTTTCTGTAGCGGGGGGCCCAAAACTGGACGCAGTACTCCAGATGTGGCCTCACCAGTGCCAAATAGAGGGGAATAATCACTTCCCTCGATCTGCTGGCAATGCTCCAACTAATGCAGCCCAATATGCCGTTAGCCTTCTTGGCAACAAGGGCACACTGCTGACTCGTATCCAGCTTCCCATCCACTGTAATCCCCAGGTCCTTTTCTGCAGAACTGCCGCTTAGCCAGTCGGTCCCCAGCCTGTAGCAGTGCATGGGATTCTTCAGTGCAAATAGACAAGATCTCTGGCCCAAGGGGGGGTCCCAATCCTTGGGGAAGGGTAGGAAGGACTTCTGCCCCATAAAACTGGGTGTTCAGGTTCTGAGCAAAAGGCGCTATGAACTTGTAACCACAGGAAAACCCCTGGGGAGGTAGTAAGGACTGTTTGCCATCCAGAGCCCTTGCTGGAGTCAGGGGGTGATCTCTGGTTGGCTTATTACCATGTGTGTAGGGGCTTCTATTGTTTCAATATATTTTCTCTGTAACGCTTTTACCTTAAGAATAAAGGTGCTTGCTTAGAAAGAGCTGTGCGGTAACTGAACTGGGACCATTACACTGTTTACCACCTCTGAGGAGAAAAGGAAGGGGAATTCACAGTGCAGGCAGGGAGCAGGCACCTGGAAATCCCCTGCTCAGGAGGGAGAGAGACAGGGGTCTCCATGCAAGAGAGGCAACAGCAGATGTCTAAGAGTGGTGCGCTGGCTGGCTCAGAGAAGGGAAATTCAGGTGCAGTTGCCCTGCACTGTGACAGTCTATCTGAAATGGGAAGACGCAGCCGCCTGGCCTGAGCATGCATGAGCAAATGCATTTCCCTACACCACTATCCGGACATCCAGCAGCAGCTGAAGATACAGGCACCTCGCTCTAAAGACTTGCGTGACTCTACGGGGAGCAGAAAGACCCAACCCACTTCACACAGGTCCCTTCAGCCTATCAGGGAATCTCAATCTTGTGTGGATCCAGACCCAGACAACTCCTCCTCCTCCTCCTCCAAGCCTCAAACCCGGCAAGACCCAGGGCCAGCCAATCAATTGTGCAAGCAAATGGAACCAACTGGAGCTAAATGTCTGAACTCAAAAGCAATGGCTTTTCGGTCACAAATGATGCAGGACATTAGGAACTGCAAACTCACAGCATTCATGCCTTGCCCATAGAACGGTACCATGGCGTGGGCGGCGTCTCCCATCAGCACACACCGGGAGGCGATGTGGTATGAAGAGCACTTCACAGAGATCATGGCCTGGGGTGGCAGCAAAAAGTAATCGCGCTGCAGCTCTCGCCTTCAGCCAAAACAACAGACAGTTTGCATGAAATGTGTGATGTCATCATTGGAGACAAGCGAATCAGTCATCAGTGTAATACGTAATGTGCCAGGATGCGCAATCCAACCTTTACCGTGGGGTACTTGTGCTGAAAGTTGTGGGAAACCCGACTAGCTAGATCGTGAACTTCAAACCAGGGGATTAAGCTGCCGCATGCCGCAGAATGTAACGGTAATTTCATGGAGCTATAGACTCCCATTACTCTACAGCTGATAGTCATATTTAACACTATCCCTCATGTCTGTGGTCCTGTTTACACTGCATCCCCTTACAGCAGTGGTATCCAACCTTCTTAAGCACAAGATCACTTTTGAATTAAGAGCAACCCAGGATCCACCCCCACCCTTCCCTGAGGCCCCACCCCCTTCCCGAGGCCCTGCCCTGCTCACTCCATCCCCCCTCCCTCACCTTCCCTCCCCCACACTCTCATCGGGCTGGGGCAGGGCGTGGTGGTGTGGGCTATGGGCTGAGGCCGAGGGGTTCGGAGTGTGGGAGGGGGCTCCAGGCTGAGCCTGGGGCAGGGGGCTGGGGTGTAGGAGGGGGTTCAGAGTGCAGGAGGAGATTCTGGGGGTTCAGGGATGGGGGTTGGGGTGCAGGAGGGGTGCAGGCTGTCGCCGGGTGGTGCTTACCTGGGCGGCTCCCGGGCAGCAGCACAGCAGGGCTAAGGCAGGCTCACTGCCTGTCCCAGCCCCGTGCCACTCCCAGAAGCTGCCGCCACATACCTGCTCCGCGCACTGGCTCCGTGCGCTGCCCCTTCCTGCAGGCACCACCCCCACAGCTCCCATTGGCTGCAGTTCCTAGCTCCCAGCCAATGAGAGCTGCGAGGGAGGTGCTTGCAGGCAAGAGCGGTATGCAAAGACCCCACCCCCACGCAGGGATGTGCCAGCTGCTTCCAGGAGTGGCCCGGGGGCGCCGGACTTTTAGTGGCCGGAGATTGCGATCGACTGTCAGAGGCTCCGTGATTGACCCATCAATCGCAATCTACCGGTTGGTGACCACTGCCTTACAGGGCCCTTCCCGTCTCTATTCAGCAAAGTACTTAAGCACATGCTTCAATCCCATTCACTTCAACGGGATGTACTTAAGTGCTTTGCTGAGTAAGAATGGATTTCAGTCCATTTAAATGCTTTGCCTGTGCCTTTTGAAGCCCCACTGCAATCCACAAAACTCGCACTCAGCTGCCGCCAAACCTGGTAGGCTCCTAAACTCACTCAGTGCCTTCGTGTTTGCAGTAAGAGTTCCTTAGGGGCCTGTGTATCTGCCTCTGAGCATGTGCATGGCGGCCTCCCTCTGGGCATCCCTCTCTCACCTAAGCCCCAGTGCAAACGACAGAGTAGGGGAACACAGGCATTTGGCCACCTAACTCCTGGGTTGGGCCCGATCTGGTAGGCATGCTCAGAGGCTGCCTAGACCTACATAAAGCAGCCCCAGAGGGTGGGGAACCTCGCTTATAACCCAGGGGTCATGATACTCTCCCTGGATGGGAGACCCCCAGGGCAAGCCCCCCTCTGTCGGATGAAGAGCTGGGATGTGCCAGCTTTCAGGTGAGTGCCCTAACCACTGGCCTATAGACTATTCCGATGCCCTCGAGCTCCCCTATAGAAGTTATTCCACTTGAATGAAAGATGAATTGGGCCAGAGCTAGAATGACTCCATGGCCCACTGGTTAGGCATGCACCTGGGAGGTGGCAGATCCCTGTTCAGCCGCCCTCTCCTCAGCAGGTAGAACTGGGGGGGACTTGAACTGGGGGGTCTCCCAGCTCCTGGGTCAATGCACTACCGCTGCACTAAAGGTTATGCAGGAGCATCACCGTCTGCTTTTGTGTGGCATTAGGCAGCCTCTGTGCATGCCTACCAGCTTAGGACCCACATGTGACTTAAGAAAATAAGAACGGCCAGACAAGGTCCATCTAGCCCAATATCCTGTCTTCTGACAGTGGCCAATACCAGGTGCTTGAGAGGGAATGAACAGAACAGGCAATCATCAAGTGATCCATCCCCTGTCGCCCATTCCCAGCTTCTGGTAAATAGAGGTTAGGGATCCCATGCCTACCCATCCTGGCTAATAGCCACTGATGGATCTATTCTCCATGAATTTATCTAGTTCTTTTTTTTAACCCAGTTATAGTCTTGGCCTTCACAACATTCTCTAGCAAAGAGTTCCACAGGTTGACTGTGTGTTGTATGAAGAAATACTTCCTTTTGTTTTACACCTGCTGCCTATTAATTTCATTTGATGGCCCCTAGTTCTTGTGTTATGAGAAGGGGTAAATAGCACTTCCTTATTTACTTTCTCCACACCAGTCATGATTTTATAGACCTCTATCATAACCCCCCTTAGTTGTTTCTTTTCCAAGCTGAAAAGTCTCAATCTTATTAATCTCTCCTCATATGAAAGCTGTTCCATAACCCTAAGCATTTTTATTGCCCTTTTCTGAACCTTTTCCGATTCCAATAGATATTTTTGAGATGGGGCAGTACTGACGGTGTGGGCGTACCATGGATTTATACAGAGGCAATATGATATTTTCTGTTTTATTCTCTAACCTTTTCCTAATGATTCCCAAGATTCTGTTCGCTTTTTTGACTGCCGCTGCACATTGAGTGGATGTTTTCAGATAACTATTCACAATGACTCCAAGCTCTTTCTTGAGTGGTAATAGCTAACTTAGACCCCATCATTTTATATGAATAGCTGGGATTATATTTTCCAATGTGCATTACTTTGCATTGATCAACATTGAATTTCATCTGCCATTTTGTTGCCCAGACACCCAGTTTTGTGAGATCCCTTTGTAGCTCTTCACAGTCAGCACTGGACGTAACTATCCTAAGTAGTTTTGTATCATCTGCTCTGGGCTGAGTGGAGTGGATGGTGCAGAGGGCAAGCTGGGCATCCCTTATGCTGTGCGGACTCTCGGCGGCCTTTTGGCCCCCACTGTCTTTCCCACAGGGCCCCTGCCTCATTCAGTGCTCAGGGCAGACTCGGCTCAGGAAATGAGGCAGCAATTCAATGCTTTGTTTTATTCTTGTTCTTCAGGGTGTCGTTTCTGCCTCGTTCCCAGTGCACTAGTGCCCCCTGGCTCTGAATACAGAAATATTCATTCCCTCATTCTCTGAGGAGCTTTTCTGTGCCACTTGTCACCACCTGAGTGCCTCCCCGCCACTGCGGGAGAAAAACGAGTGGCCAATGTGGAAAATGTTCTCACTCTCCCACTAAAACAACAAGGAGTCTTTAAGGTGCCACCGGACTCCTTGTTGTTTTTTTGTGGATACAGACTAACACGGCTACGCCCGATACTTCACTCTCCCACTAGTCTCCAGGGAAGGCAGTTGTGTAATGCTGGAGACTGGTCTGTAGGTGGCAGCAAAGATGCTCACATCACACTGACTTCTCTGGAACTCAGGGCCCGGTTAGGGGATATTGGCGTCAGCGACAGGTTTCACATATCTCATTGTTCTGTTAGCAAAAGGGCCATGTCAGGACCAGCCCAGCGGTATTTAAAAATGACACATCAATAATCAGCCCCCTGGGGGTCAAACTAGCCACTGAGCGAATGGGGAGCATGCAGTTAGTGGCCACCGGTGACAAGGCTGGTTTCCCAGCATCACGCAGAAATTCTGTTGCAGCGGCAGGGATGGAAGCCAGTTGTCTTAACCATAAAACTGTCCCTTCTCCTCTGGCAATCCCTGACTTATTCACTACGCATCTTCCAACTTCTGCAACAAATGAGACAGGGTCCTACAGACACCAGCCTCCTTCACTGCACAGCCCTGAATCAGTCCTGAGCAGGTCCATCCTTGGGCATTGACCGAAGCAAAGGTCTTGTTGCAAAACAGTATGTAATTATGTAATAATGACTGTGTTGTAATGCACATGCACAAGGGGGATGAATTAAGGTGGCTCAGCTACCTTAATTCTGGCATTTCCTACCTTCGGAGAGCTTGACTTTGCAATATTCTTTGGACATTGGTGGGGTTTTCTATGTAATTGTGACAGAGTTGGTATGTCCATATGAATTGTGTTCTCCGCTTGGTATTATGTGCTGAACATGTCTGAACTTGCTCAAGGCAGCCTATTGAATGGCATTCCAGAGAGCCGCGCTGCCCAGAAAAGGAGTTTCACAGAAAAGTCACTAAGACAACAATCTGGGGTTATCAGCTTGACTGGCTCTCAACTACTGGCTCACCCCCATGGGTCAATGGGCTTTTCTACACGGATGGGGCAAATCTAACTGGGGAGGGGGCTGGAACCTTCCCGCTGAGCACATGGTTAAAAAGCGACAGACTTTGTTTAAGAGTGGGGTGCTGCTAACCATCACCACCTGGACGCAGGAGACACAGGAGAGGAGGAACTCTGCCTAGCCTGAAATATGGAGAAATCCTCGGACTCACAGGAGGGGTGAGATCAGTCTGGAGTACCTCAGAACTTCTATTTTCTGAAGACCTGTAACTCATTAGTGCTTATGAGTAAAATGACTGTGGTTAAGACAGTCCTTGGCTAAGCCCTGTTCCTTGCTTTCCTGCCATAGAAGATCAGGGTTGGAAGGGACCTCAGGAGGTCATCTAGTCCAACCCCCTGCTCAAAGCAGGACCAACACCAACTAAATTATCCCAGCCAGGGCTTTGTCAAGCCTGACCTTAAAAACCTCTAAGGAAGGAGATTCCACCACCTCCCTAGGTAACCCATTCCAGTGCTTCACCACCCTCCTAGTGAAATAGTGTTTCCTAATATCCAACCTAAACCTCCCTCACTGCAACTTGAATCATTACTCCTTGTTCTGTCATCTGGTACCACTGAGAACAGTCTAGATCCATCTTCTGTGGAACCCCCTTTCCGGTAGTTGAAAGCAGCTATCAAATCTTCCCTCACTCTTCTCTTCCGCAGACTAAATAAGCCCAGTTCCCTCAGCCTCTCCTCGTAAGTCATGTGCTCCAGCCCCCTAATCATTTTTGTTGCCCTCCGCTGGACTCTCAATTATTCCCACATCCTTCTTATAGTGTGGGGCCCAAAACTGGACACAGTACTCCAGATGAGGCCTCACCAATGTCGAATAGAGGGGAACGACCATGTCCCTTGATCTGCTGGCAATGCCCCTACTTATACAGCCCAAAATGCTGTTCGCCTTCTTGGCAACAAGGACTATGTTGTCCCTGAAGGGGTTAAGCTAGAAGCCAGAGTGACCACAGGTAGATGGCGCTCTGGGAGGCTCAGGAGATCTGAGGCACTGGTTCCAGAGGCTGGAAACCAGAGTCCCATGTCTCAAGGATGGGCTCAGAAAAGAGATCAGAGCCTGGGATTGTATGTTATGGACCCAGAGCTGGAAACGGGGACTAGACTCTGCCCAGATCCAGCTACCTTGGAAGCACATGGGACCTTGTAGCTGGGTCTGCTTGCTACAGACTGATGGCCCTACACTGCAGTAATGGGCCAGGCTGGGACAGTGACAGTCTAGGTTTTCAGTAAAGAAAAATGGACAAAGCAGACATTCAATCATGTGCAGCCAAATGGCCCTCACGTGTGTTGTCACCCAGCGCTTTCAGATCCAGAGCTCCAACCCCTACCGTTCAGCTAAAGCATTAACTGTTAGCAGTAGGAGGCTGGTATCCCCAAAATTTTCCAGTCACCAGAAGGGCATGTGATACACACCTGGCCAGTAGATTACGTAACTGGTAGACTGGAGTTGAATGCTGGGAATCAGAACTCCTGGTTTCTGTTTCTGGCTCTGGGAATGGAGTGTGGTCTAATGACTATCACCTGGTGAAGGGCAGCCTGACCTTCCAACTTGTTATGCCCATTGGAACTACAAATCAGCCTTCAGTCTCTTCTCCTACCCATCCGTTCTGCAATATATCTGGTGTCTAGAAAAATACAGAGATCCACTCCCAAGGAACCTGTAGTGTCCTGCATTTGTCACATGAGGTAGAGTCCCTGCTGATTCGCACTAGAGCATGAAATCACCAGCCCTAGGTGAACACTCAAGTACTCGACACATCCCTGTTGCTTTACGGCAGTGCGCTAATTAACAAAGAAACACCAGAAATAATACTTACGCTCCTATGAGGGGAATTGAATCTGGGAAGTAGGTTTGGAAGAAATCCAGCACTTGATCACCTGTCGTGAGCCGTTCAAACTCCTCGAAGGGCATGAAGAGTGTGCAGGTGAACGACTTATCCTGTGGGTTCAAAGGGACATTCAAAAGAGATTCTGAGAGGGTGGAGATGAGCCCTGCACAGAGCTCAGCCGGGGACCCCAGCGAGGGAGGCAAACAGCTCAGCTTGGGAAGGGGATGAGGACTGCAACAGCTGCCCCATTTCCCCTCTTGCTGTTGTCATTGATTGTTTGTATCCTCATGTGCCAAGCGCCGAGGAGAGGCCTGTCCCCGAGCGCACACAAGCCGCAGACAGGGAGCAAAGGTGGGAGAAGGAGCTAGAGCACAGATGGGTCATGGCCATGACTTGGTAGGGCAGGTGGTGGCGGGTATTGCTTCTACGTGTGTGCTTGGCTGTATTTCTATTGCAGTGGGAAACCCAGTGGGGGTTGGTTGGTTGGTTGGGAGGCACTTGTGGTTACAGGGGAGTTGGGGGGAGCAGAGAATGGGAGAAGTGGGAAAGGAGGAAGTGGAGCTCAGTGCTGGGGTGCATCAGTGCAGGGATCAGCTGGTGAAGCTGGCAGGAGGAGGATGCTGTCCTGTGAAGCAGGACGGGGGAGGCCTGTTAGGGAGGGGGATATTGGAAAGGCCCAGTTTGCTCGCTAAGTCCTCTGCCAGGAGGATGGGCTGGCTCTGGCTTGCGCCTGCCAAAATCAGTGACCAAACTGCCACTGCTTTTAAAGGAACAGGAGCAGGCCCTTTGCCTTTGTCTGAACCTGCATTATGGAGCATTCTCTTCGCCCATGTGCCAGGGCTGGAATCCCCAGCAGACCCAGCTGTCTAAAGAACATTGATCATTGCACCAGGTGTACAAATGCAAAGTGCTGCTTGCACTTGGCTGTCTGCCCATGTGCATTCATGGTCATAGCTTTTCAGGGCAGGAGGGAGCGCTCTAACCTTCTGCGGAGCACAGGCCATATACTGAATGCAGCCCTCTGGAGGGCAGCTTGGACCTCGTCTCTGTTCTCCTTACCTTGGAGTAAAGGAACTGAACCTAGTCCCGTGTTCCATAATACGCCTTCTCCAGCCATGCACAGGTCGGCCCATGGCCAGTCTCAGCCTCACGTTCTGGGACCAGGCACCATGGCCAAGGTCACCAGAAGGGTTGGTGTGAGGGTGCAGCACAGCCAGGGGAATTCTGACAGCGCGGGCATTTGCCATCAGGAGTTTCTAAAGGGGAGTTGGGTTAAAGTGCTGATGAGCTGCAGGGAGGATCTGGGCTGTATCTGCACGGGCTAGGTGTGTCCTGCCAGCCTCTGTGGGGCTGCCGTTTCCACCTCCACCTGTTCCTCCCCCACTCACGCATTGCTAGTCCACTTGCTAGCAGTGTGTTATCCCCTGCAGACAGGCCCAGCTTTGTGTCAATCAGGAGTCAGGCCCTTTCACACAGGGTCTGCACTTTCCTGGTCCGTTCCACAGAGGGTCAGATTGTGGTTGGCCTTTACGTGAGAGTGGTGCACAACAGGGAAAGGGCACGAGCGACCTCTCCCCACCCCATCATGGCCCCCGTCAGCGGCAGAGCACGGATTCAGGCTGTGGGCCTCCCTGGGTTAAAGAGTGCACCCCGCTCACCATGGCAGTGCTAGGGTGTGTGTGTCTCCCCAAGTCCCCTCCCAGCCCCAGAGCTTCTGCAGGAGCCAGGCCTGGAGCCGTCCCTGTGCCCCGAAAGGATTGGCAATGGTGGGTTCTTACCAGGTTAGGCAGCGCTATCATCATGAAGGTGTTCCTGGGCCAGATGTGAAGGTAATTCTCTTCCATGGCAAACTGAAAGGAAGGGACTGGTCAGTGTCTCGTTAGCAAGCCTGTTACCCACAGATCACCCCTGCAGAGAGGCAGGCAGGGCAGAAGGAAACTGCACCATTTACAGGTGGTAAAAGCCTTAGCAAGCTGGGTCATTTCCCTGTCATCCCCACCCCACTCACTCCTGCCTCTTCCTTAGGGTTGCCAACTTTCTAATTGCACAAAACCGAACACCCTACCCCCGCCCCCTGCCCCGAGGCCCCTCCCCTTCCCCTTCTCAAGGCCCCGCCCCTACTCACTACATTTCCCCCTCCCTCGGTGGCTCACTCTCCCCCACCCTCACTCACTTTCACTGGGGCTGGGACAGGGGGTTGGGGTGCAGGCTCTAACTGGGGGTGCAGGCTGTGGGCTGTGGATGAGGGATTTGGGGTGCAGGAGAAGGCTTCAGGCTGGGGGGTGGAGCCATGGGATTTGGAAGGTGGGAAGGGGCTGCGGATTGAGGCAGGGGGTTGGGCTGTGGGAGGGGGTACAGGCTCTGGGCTGGGGGTGCGGGCTCTGGGGTGGGATTGGGGATGTGGGGTTTGGAGTGCAGGAGAAGGCTCCAGGCTGGGGGTGGGGCCAAGGGATTTGAAGTGTGGGGGGGCTGCGGGTTGAGACTGGGGTGCAGGAGGGGATGCAGGCTCTGGGGTGGGGCCGGGAATGAATGGTTTGGGATGCAGGAGGGGGCTCCGGGTTTGGGGGGGCTCAGGGCTGGGGTAAGGGGTTGGGGCACGGGCTTACCTCGGGCAGCTCCTGGTCAGTGGTGCAGTGGGGCTAAGGCAGGCTTCCTGCCTGTCCTGGCACTGTGCTGCTCCCCAGAAGCAGTCAGCAGTAGCTCCGGCTCCTAAGCGAGGCGGGCGGAGGCAGGAGGCTCCGCGTGCTGCTCTCGCCTGCAGGCACTGCCCCCCCCAGCTCCCATTGGCCAATGCGAGTGCGGAGCCGGTGCTCAGGGTGGGGGCAGCGCAGCACCGCCGACGGAACTTTTAACGGCCTGGTTGGCTGTGCTGATCGGAGACACCAGGGTCCCTTTTTGACTGTCGAAAACTGGACACCTGGCAACCCTACTCTTCCTCCATTTGCTATCATTAGTGCCCCGCCCTAGTGGTGTCCTAGACTGGCTGCTGACATCGCCCCCTACTGGCTTCCCGGAGCCAGGGCAGCACTTCCTTCCTTTTTCCTTCAGCACCAGAGACTGACTGCAGGAGCCCTGCCCCAGAAGGAAAGGAGCTGTCCGTTCAGTGAAAGCTGCGTCTAATTCCAAGCACTGGTGGGAGAGGAGGGCGTGCAGAAGGGCCTCTGTGGGTCCTAAGGTCTCCCCCCAGGGATGCTCAGGTATTGAGCAGAGCCCAAATACTCACTATTTGCAAGTCCTGTGCTAACACGCAATTGCCTTATGCTACCACCTGTTTTACCACCGAGATTCACTGGTTCTACCAGCTCTTACGGATCCTGTGATAAGCTTGAAAACAGGAACATTGCAGTGATGTCTGTCTGAGTCTGCAGGGAGCCTGAAATAATAGCTCTGAGAGGTGGGACCAGCCCCATCCCTCCTCGAGAGCCAACATTCTTAGAAGGGATTTCTAGACAGGTCGCTGGACCAGGGACCAGGGCGTTACAGCAGAGCGCAGGATGGAGGGTGGCTACTTACATCCCCATCCTTGGGTGGGATGGTCAACTCCATGTACCCATGAGGAATGTACACATGGCTGTAGTTAAAGCATGTTTGCCGCATGAACTGCTTTCTGACTGTAGAAAAGGCTCCATCGCATCCCACTATGAGGTCACAAGTGACTTCCATGGGTCTTTGGTCAGGTCTGACAAACAAGAGAAATCATTAGTATGAGGCTGCAGGACTTTGGCCTGGACCAGTGAACTCCCACAGCACCAGCGGCCAGGGTGGACGGGCCGTTTGTACTCTGATGAAGAGGTGTCGAAGGACTCCTCTGGGCTCCAGTTTTTTGGTACCGTTTTTAGCCTCTAGGTGTATGAAGAGACTGTTTGATCAATGCAGATTTTATAGAGTTCAAGGCCAGATGAGGCCATTGAGTCTGACCCCCTGCCTATCACAGGCTGTTACATTTCACCCTGATACCTGTGCTGAGCTCGGTGACTTGAGTTAGACCAAAGCATTTCAGGCCACAGAGACTAAACTGTTGTGCGCTACAGGCAGTGAGCAGGAGAGAGCGAGGTGCAGGGCCACCCAGAGGGGGGCAAGTGGGGCAATTTGTCCCAGGCCCTGCGCCCCACAAGTCCTGGCTGAGAATCCCTTTCCTCACTCAGCAGCGGTCCGGGTCTTCGGCGGCGGGTCCTTCAGTGCTGCCGAAGACACTGAGCAACTGAAGGACCCGCCGCTGCCACCACCAGAGACTCGGAGCGCCGCCCGGTGAGTACAAATGCTCCCCCACTTTGCCCCAGGCCCCCTGAATCCGCTGGGTGGCCTGGCAAGGTGCCACCTGCACCCGAGGCCCTGCAATGGAGGAGGTGAGACATGCCCAGGTGATCCCTGCAGGCAGCCTATGCCCCATGCTGCGGAGGAAGGTGTGGAACCCCAGGTCCGGGCCGTCAGTTAATAAGCTCTGGGGGTGGAGTAAAGACTTAGTCTGTAGGTTATTAAAGTTGGTGTTTGTCAACTAGCCGCCACAGCTTTTGTAAAAGGCTTCTGTTTACAGGGTGACCTAGCGCTGACAGCAGCCGCCAGCGTTTCAGGGCCGTGTTGGGTTTGATACCGTATGTCACGCTCAGCTAGAACAGTGTGTATTTGAATACCCAGACAGACACCAGACACCTTTGCACAATGGCCACTAAGGTCCCCTCCCAGGAGGACACACACGTCATAAATCTGGCAGACTGGTTCAATACTGATGATGCCGGGGTGTGATCCAAACCTGCCGGGTCACAGAAAGCAAGTCATCACCTTAACTCGGGGGAGACTGTCTAGCCAGGACATGGATGGAAAACTAAAGGTGGCAAGACAAGCATGTTGGTTACTTGCAGAAACAAATAAATCCACGTGTCTGGCTTATTGCTGATGAAGTTGCTTTGACGCTTTTCAACTCTTCATGAAAACTGCTGCAATGTCTGAGTCTTCACAAACCTGACATCAAGGGTCAGCTCAGAAATAACAAACTGGTTGTGAACAGACTTGCCCAGTTGTTTGTTTTGATTAATTATTAGGCAAAAGCTGTATGAAGAGAGCACTCTCAGGGACAGGGCCTGCTTTACCCTTGTAAGGTTAATAGCCCTGATTCAACGTGGCAGCGGAGCAGCTTGTGTCCAAAGTACAATGTAGTGTTGGGGTACTTCTCAGCAGCTGTGAAAAGAAAAGACGTTTCAGCATAATGGATTGTGCTAGCCCACAGAGTGTCGCTGAAGTATGGAGCCTTTCGTCTCTTTGATCAAATTAGATTCCTTCTAGTGGGGGGGAAGAGGGAGATTTTATGGTTAAAACTTGTGAAAAGTATTTACTAAGTGCAATACATCCTGGCAAAGTATTCTTGTTCCCTGAGACAATCTTCAGATACTGCCATGACTCCTGTCCCTGCGCTATAGGAATCATCACAGAGCCAGGGCCTGTGTGATCCCCCAGCAGCCAATGGGAGATATGTGCATGCATCTGAGGGCAGAATGTGGCCACCCAGCTGTATGGCTGACACGTAACCACTTTGTAACATGCTGCAAGTACTGACTTTTTTCCTAGTAATGTTAAAATCACTCCCTGTTGCATTCCAAACTCAGTGTTCAGTTCAACTCAGTAGAATGCAAATACACTGAAGAGATGGGTTATGTAGCTTTCCTGTCAACTTTCCCCTTATTTATACACAAAGCAGATCATTAGGAACAGTTCAGATTATCTCACCCAATCTTCAACATCCCCCACCATCAAAATCCCCTGTGATATCAGCTGTTTTCCAATGAATGTCTAATCTATCGGCTCAGTTTCCATGTGCGTCAGGATGCTGTCTCTTAGAGCTAGAGCTTTGGAAATCAGTCCTTAAAACAAATTTACATATCAGGGCCACAGAACTTTGTTCTAAATGCTGCTGCTAGTTTCTCCCTTAAAATGTGTTCTAGGTGCCAGACCAGAACACAGGGCGTTTGGAATCCTAAAGCCTACTTCCACAATAGCCACGGACTGGGAGTGAGAGCCTGGCCACATAATTCAGGCCCAAATTTTCAGAAGGGCCTGCTAATCCTGGCACCCGGTTAGAACAATTAGGCAGCCCCAAAATGAGGCCCCCCAAAGTTTGTAACAACTTTTGTAACATTGGCCCTTACTCCCTCTGGTCCAAGTTTATTCCTCTGTCAAACGAGCACAGTATTTTCCTACCATAGAGGTGTGTTGGGGCGGGGCGTTAATGTTTGTAAAATGCCTTTCTACTTTCAGATAGAGAACACTCTAGATAAGTTTTAAGTATTCTTCAAGACGTGTCTTCAAAAGCTACATGTTAGTCTGTAGTTGTAGACTCCGGTAGTGGCTTCTCACTATCGTCAAGAGACCCAGAACCCTTGGAGAACCAGAGCAGCATTTTGGAAACTTAACCCACTTAAAACTTAGATCAACCTAGCTTCGTAGCTCAGGGGTGTGAAAACTTCACCCCCGAGTGCTCTAGTTAAGCCAACCTCACCCGTCACCCCTGCGTAGACATGGCTAGGTCGACAGAACAATGTAGGTACTGACCTAGCGACCGCTGCTTGGGGAGCTGGATTGCCTATGCTGATGGGAAAACGATGCAGGAAGCATCTATTCTACATCTCTACAGCACCATAGCCTTTCAATTAGGGCTGTCAATTAATTGCAATTAATCACCATTTTAATCGCACTGTTAAACAATAGAATACCAATTGAAATGTATTAAATATTTTTGGATGTTTTTCTACATTTTCAAATATATGGATTTCAGTTACAACACAGAACACAAAGTGTGCAGTGCTCACTTGTGTTGGGCCATGTATGGGTTAAGTAGAGACCTGGGAAGCTGCGAATGTGCTGACACGGCATTAGGGGACTAAGACATCAGAAGGCTGGAGTTCTTTGGTTAATAAATAAGTTGCCATATTTTGCCCTTCCCTGTTGCTTGTAAGAATTGATAAGTGTTGCAGCTGCATAAGAAATGTGGGGATCTAAAGGATACCTTTTGGGTAAAGCAGTGTTAGCTCCTCCTCCCTTCCTGTCCCAGCTACATAGACAAGCCCTGGCTTATGGCCCCTTCCTCCCGCCCCTGAAAATTGCTGACCAGGGAAATTTGTGGCAACAAATTATTGCGAAGAAATATATTTTCAAGGTAAAATGCCTGTGTATATATGTAATGCTGTGCACAATGAATAGGGTGGATTTACTAACAAAATGGGTGTTTTATTACTGAATACGGGTTTTGGGGTGTTGTAACAAATGTAGGTGTGTACATACTAACAAACAAAAAGAATGTGCTATAACTAATTCGGTGCTTACTGGACAATTGGGTCCAGGGGAACAAGTATCGCAATAAAGAAGCCTGTACTCATATCCGCCTCCGGGACAATCTGCTCCTTCTTCTAACTTTATATTATTATTTTAATTACAAATATTTACATTGTAAAAATAACAAACAAAAGAGATAGTATTTTTCATTTCACCTCATACAAATGCCGTAATGCAATCTCTTTATCGTTAAAGTGCAACTTACAAATGTAGATTTATTTTGTTATACAACTAAACTCAAAAACAAAACAATATAAAGCTTTAGAGCCTACAAGTCCAGATGTTCGCATAGCACTGTTGTAGCTGGAGTCACAAGATATTTACATGCCAGATGCACTAAAGATTCATACGTCCCTTCATGCTTCAACCACCATTCCAGAGGACATGCGTCCATGCTGATGACGCTCGTTAAAAAAATAATATGTTAATTAAATTTGTGACTGAACACCTTGGGGGAGAATTGTATGTCTCCTGCTGTTTTACCCGCATTCTGCCCTATATTTCATGTTACTGCAGTCTTGGATGATGACCCAGCATATGTTGTTCATTTTAAGAACATGCTCACTGCAGATTTGACAAAAGGCAAAGAAGGTCCCAATGTGAGATTTCTAAAGATAGCTACAACACTCGAACCAACGTTTAAGACTCTGAAGTGCCTTCCAAAATCTGAGAGGGATGAGGTGTGGAGCATGCTTTCAGAAGTCTTAAAAGAACAACACTCCGATGCGAAAACTACAAAACCCAAACCACCAAAAAGGAAAATCAGCCTTCTGCTGGTGGCATCTGACTCAGCTGATGAAAATGAACATGTGTCGGGCCTCACTGCTTTGGATCTTTATCGTGCAGAACCCGTCATCAGCATGGACGCGTGTCCTCGGGAATGCTGGTTGAAGCATGAAGGGACATATGACTCTTTAGTGCATGTAAATATCTTGCGACGCCGGCTATAACAGTGCCATGCAAACACCTGTTCTCACTTTTAGGTGACATTGTAAACAAGAAGCGGGCAGCATTATCTCCCGTAAATGTAAACAAACTTGTTTGTCTTAGCAATTGGCTGAACAAGAAGTAGGACTGAGTGGACCTGTAGGCTCTAAAGTTGTACAGCGTTTTGTTTTTGAAAGCAGTTATTTTTTGTACATAATTCTACATTTCTAAGTTCAACTTTCATGATAGAGAGATTGCACTACAGTAGTTAAATTAGGTGGATTGAAAAATACTATTTCTTTTGTTTTTTTTACAGTGCGAATATTTGTAATAAAAATAAATATAAAGTGAGCACTGTACACTTTGTATTCTGTGTTGTAGTATTTGAAATATTTAATTTTGTAATGTTTGTAATATTTGAAAATGTAGCAAATATCCAAAATATTTAAATAAATGGTATTCTATTATTGTTTAACAGCGTGATTAATTGCGCTATTGATCATAATTGATATTTTAATTGCACGATTAATCGCGATTAATTTTTTTAATCACTTGACAGCCCTACTTTAAATCCTTGGTCCAACCCTAGATTCCCTTAGTAGGACAAAGTGAAAACGGGCTAGGAGCACTCAAAAAAGGCCAGGACACTTACCCGTTAGCAGCTCTTGGTTTAAATTTGCTCTGTCCACGGAGAGAATGTACTGCAGGAAAACAGTTTTAGGAAGTGAGTATTTCTGAAGCACTTTTTGCACAAAATATTAGGAGGATGACATGATAGGCAGCAGTCCTGCAAACACTGACATGGGTCCTTACTTGTAAGCACGTGAGCTGTCTCGCTGACGACGAGACAAGGCTCTGAACCTTCTCCAGTTTTTCAAGCTGTTTTAGGATGTGAGCCCCCGAACTGTACACAGTCGTCCAGCAGTGCACTCTTTGCTATGGGGGGAAGTGGAGGGGGCAGCAGGGCTGGGGAAAGGGAATGCTGGGTGAGGCAGGGAGACTGCATGTGTGGAACGCAGGGAGAAAGAATGTGGTGGAGCAGAAAGACTGGGTGTCAGGGCTGGTGGCTGAGAGGAGATGGGAATGGGGTGGGCCCACCGCGAGGGATCGCAAGGCATAGGAAATTGAAGCCATGTTTACACAGTTTGACTGTGAGAATCAAACCATGGGGACAGTTTTTGTGAGGACCCAGAGAAGTTAAAATTTGTATTTTATGGTTGCAAAAAACATTACAATGTCCCTTGGCCACAAGATACATTTTGCACTAAAGGCAAAACAGCCAAAATATGTATTGTTCCATCATTATGGTGCCGAAGGTGTACAGTCCCTTCCCTGAGGGCTCAGAGCCCACTCCCAGCAAGACAGGGTGCAATGGAAAATGCAGAGAGGGGGATAAGGAAGGTTTTGTGCATAATTACGGTTCACTCACTCCCCAGGGCATCCTTTCATCCAGACAGGCTGGATGCGATCCCTGACCATTACACAGTGCTGTAACACCTGTCCAGTGAACGTAAACAAAGGTCCCTCCCCCAGGGCAGCTGTGGAAGGAAAATACCTGGCTCTTTGTTCCATAGGGGATGGAATATGTGTTTCCTGAGGGCGTGTGTATCCTCCTGGCCCGCATGGGGATGCCTTTGGCCACAATCTGAAATCAAAAGGGAAGAGACCTCCATTACCTTCAGCTCCGATACCGAGGCTGAGGGGCCAGTGTGTGACTCCCTGAAGCCCATTAAGTCCAGTGGGACCTAGGCCCAGCGAGTCAGGGATCCCTAATCTGGCCCTGGCAATGTGTGATGTCACTGTGCTACGCTATAAAACTGCTGCATCTCACTGAGACAATTAGCTGCCGGCTCCTTCTAATAAAAATCCCAGGCAAGTTGGTTTGGCTAGAAAAGGTCTGTAAAGCCCCAGTGCCTGTGTGGGAATCCGAGCCAAGGGGCGGCACTGGGATACAAGCTGTGCATGATCTGGGCTTTAGTCTCCCCTCGGATCTGAAGCGGCACAAGCCTGAGCAGCTGCAGCTAGACCCCTCTCAGGCAGGGCAGGGCAGGGCGTGCACTCAAGCGGGCTGTGCGAAGCTCATGGCATGCTGCAGGCCTGAGCCAAAGCCCAGTGAGGTCTGTGGAAAGGCTCTGATTTCCATGGCCTTTGCAGCAGGCCCTGGGCTGAGGATATATGGCAAAATTCAGCTCTATCCCTGGCTGTCTTGGGGCCTAGACCTGAAAGGTCTAGGACCCACTATTCTGCTCCTTGGCACCAATGCCCCCACCTGGCTTACTACAGATGATGCTTCCACTGACATCATGCTTGCCTTCCCCCCATCCTCACTCCTCCTAGGGCTCGGGGCTGCCGTGAAGAGCAAGTGCTCTCTCTCTAGGTCCCCTGGCCCGACAGCAGAGTGCCAGCTGCATGACCTCGGCCCATGCCTGCTCCTGGGGAAACGGGACTCGCCCTGCCAGGGTCCGGTGCTCTGCAGCAGAGGAGCGCCAGGCGCCTGGCATGCAGGAGAAGTGGCGATTATCCCAGGAGGCTGGGCCAGTGAACAGCTTCGGGGTATGAACGTCTCCCGGGTAACGTTAGGGAGAAGACAGCTATGGCCTGTCCCTAGGGCTTCGAGCTGCTCCCAGCCAGACAGCAACCGAAAGGAAAGCGGCGCTTGACAAATAAAAATACTTGAGGGAGGCCATGAGGCTACCTGCTCTTCCATCCCAATGGCCTTGAGGGCCTGGCGTCCTCTGTGAGACAGCGCCAAGTTGATGCTCCTGCCGCGAGCAGCTCTGGTGACACGGCTATCTGAAAGGAAACAGGAGCTGCAGTTTGTCCCTTGTGCGGCCCTGGCTCGTGCGCAGAGGAGAGGCTGTGCACGGGGCATACGGCTGGCCAGGCAGGAGCCTCAGCAAAGCCTTACGCTAGCCTCCGACGAGACCAGGGGTTTATTCACACACAGCTTCACCAGACTGAGGTTCCTGCAGCAGCACGAACACTTCCCGCCAGTGGCAGCTCCAACGCCATCCCGCAGACATGCGCATGGGACCGGAGGCAGCTACGCCATGGCAGGAGACTGGCCTCAACCACGCTTTCTGCCTCCCAGCCCAGTGGCACCTTCCCCCACCCTTCCCCAGGGAGACTCTGGCACACTCCTCGCTTCCTGGAGGGCAAGTACATCGCCTACGAAGGACCTGACCTTGCCCCCTTGACGCCAGCTGAGCAGGTCCTTACCCCAGGACTAGCCCCATGAAACCCATGGCGTTACTCTCAGGAAAGGGCCACTGGGCATGAGTAAGGCAGCAGACAGACTCCAGGGGCCTGGTCCCAGGCAATGGAAAGACTCCTCATCACTTCAATGAGCTTCGGATCAAACCCTTAAAGCATGCACGTTTCATGCTGCTGCGTGAGGTGAGCCCAGTCCTGCAGCCCATGCTTGGCCCAGGTCCCAATGGCTCCAGACGGAGGTTGACTGAGTGGAGCTGGTCAGTAGAGGCCTGTTTTTACAGTCAACTATCCTCTTGATTCTCCCACTGAGGAACCAGAGTACCCCCCCACACCCCAGTCTGTGACCTTGGCTCTCTGAGGGTGGCAGTTCAGGGACGCTGGAGGGCCAAAGAGGGTGCGACACAGATTTGGGGTTGGCTTTGCTTCACGAGTGTAGCTGTTACTTCAAGTCAGTGACGTTGCTTGCTTGTTTTTCTTGTGTGTGCTGGTGCCTGAGCGAGGTACCAAAGGTGCTCCCAGACTGCAGCACCAGCCCCGCACACCCCGGGGTGAGTCAATTCAGTCATTGCTTTGAATCTATTTGAACTGTTAATTTTTGACAGCTGCACTCTTAGTGGTAAACCACCTTTTTGTGTGTTGTCGGCTCTTACAGAAGCGGATGGACGCTTCCTCCACAGCTGTGGCTGGAGCTGAGTAACATGGAAACCTGGATGTAAAAACCAAGTTCTCTTTTATGCTGCATTCAGTATGTCCATTTCCTCTGCAATTCAGCTTATGCCAGCAGAGCTGAGAGCAGCCAATGAGCATCTTGCTGCTCCCAGCCCTGTGGGAACGGGCGGCTGCTCTCCTGCACCTAGCTCAGGGAGATGGGCAGAGCTGTGGAGAGTGGGCTCTGAGGCCTGCCTAGGGCAGAAGCCATGCTGAAAGGGACCCCAAAGGGAGCTGGAGAAGAGCCAGTCAAGGCAGCATTTGGAGAGTCCATTGGAAGAGCTTAGGAGGTGACAGGTGGGCAGGACAATAGCTAGACAGGGACTGTGATTGAACGCTGAGGGGAAGGAGCCACTGGCCCCGGCCCAGCTGTGCAGCAAAAAGAAACAGAGCAGGGCCGCCCAGAGGATTCAGGGGGCCTGGGGCAAAGCAATTTCGGGGGCCCCTTCTATAAAAAAAGCTGCAACACTATAGAATAGTATATTCTCGTAGAGGCCCCTGCGGAGCCCGGGCCAAATTGCCCTACTTGTGTGTCCCCCCCGGGCGGCCCTGTTACAGAGGCTTGGTTAGCTGTTTGTAAGGGTGGCTGATCAGCACGGATAAAGCAAGGGGAACCAAACCAAACCAGACTCACTTCCTCTTTGGTTGAATGCACACTGGGGGAATCTCTGTCTCCGAGTTTTCTGCTGTGTAGGACTCATCTTTTCAGTGAAGCATACCAAGAGCTCTTCCCGCCATCAGCGCTTGGCTCCACCAGCTGAATGATGCAGGCTGGGATGGCTGGGCTGAGAGTGGAAGGCCTTTCAAAGTCTTTTACCAAAGAGGTACAGCTCTGTGCACAGTCTTTGTGCTGCTGAGGAATGGGTTTGGCACCCCCAGCATCCTAATCCTCTGTCAGTGATGTTCTCAGGCAGTCTGGGAACAGAGGGGCAATTGGGGGCCCATCAGTGGTAGGGCCCATCAGGTGGTTCTGTATTTTTACCAACCCATTGGCACCTTGGCCCTGTAGCTGGGCACCTAGTTTCCAGCATGTCCTAGGACAGCATAGAGGAGTCAAAAGCTCTGGGAGGCAAACCAGCTTTACTAACTCCCCTGGACGGACGAGCCCCTGATCTTGGCCTGGATTAGGTGCTGGTTAAACATCTGTGGTGTCTTCAGTGTTCACACCCAGACTGAAGCATGCCTGGCTGAATGTGTTTGTCTGGAGCACCCTACACGACTACTGTGGTTTCAGGTGAGCTGGAGACCGAATGCTAACATATGCTTGGTGTCACTTCTGTGCAAGTTGAGGTCACCCAGCACAATGGCGGTTCCCTCACTGTGACAGAGAGTCCGTACATTAGTTCCTCCTGGGAAGTTGGCACCATTCCACCTACAGGTCTGCAGAGCGTTAGGGTTGAGCTAGGGACAGCAGGAGCAAGGGCTGTGCAAGCTTCCCCAGGTACCTGCCAAGCTGCCTCAGCCCTGACTGCGGCAAGTCTTGTCCACCATTTGCAGAGAAGTGGTTCTGGAACATGCACAACGTTAACTTGGACAAGGATGAGACAAACCTAGGGTGCTTTTGAAGGGTGTAATCCTGCAAACATCCAGTACTGGGGGGGGTGCTGTGAGGAGCTCCATTGGAGCCTGATGCTGCCCTGGCAAGACGATTTATGCTCAGGACAAGCTTCGTGAAGACGTACGACTATTCAGCTGACCTGGACTCTTCGTTTTAAAGGAGAAGCAGAACAGCATCAGTAGCATGTAATGGAGTCCCATCAGACGGGATTTTTAAGTCAACGTCTAGTTCCTGGTACAGGAGAACCCAAACCGATAAATATCACACGTGTTTATTTTTTCAGTCGATTCTGAATACCGTTAGCACTAGATACTATTATAGGTGTCCATTAGCAAAAGGGATGGTGTAACCATACTCCACTTTCCTACGCCTGGTCTACATCGGGTGGGTGGGGGGAGGAAAACGAGAATAGTGTCGCTGAAGTGGACGTATCTTAGGTCGACTTACCTCACTTCCTCACGGCGCGGGGTTGACTGCCGCCGCTCCTCCGTCGACTCCGCTTCCGCCTCTCGCCGTGGTGGAGTACAGGAGTCGATGACAGAGCAATCGGGGATTGATCACTACCCACCAATCCGGCAGGTAGTGTAGACGTACCCTTAGTTTTGCTTAATGGCTTTTAAGTAACCAGTAATCTTTGCAATTTTTTGGAAATGAACCAAGGTAGTGCATGTATTTGCCTCTGGGGGGAAGAGGGGTCCCCTTCCTCAGCAAAAATATACCTGGGGTGCTCAGAACATCTCCAAGGAAGAGGGCATGCATTGTGGCGCTATTTACGGCAGCTTACCTTATGCTATACCATCAGCTGAGGCAGTACTGCCAGGAATTGCAAAAAACGGGGTTTTATCCATAGCCCTCTAATATTAGCTGGTCTTTTGCCAATCAGTTAGATGCATGTATGCTCACATCTGTGAGCCTCTCGGAAGATCTCAGGTTAGCTCTTGGAAGTGCAAAGACTTTGTCGGCTCACTGCTGTAGTTGAGAAACAGACTCAGCAGTACTGGGTATTCATTCACTCGTCTGAGCGTATCCTCTTTTCCTGATGCTTTGTGTGTATAAGACTTTAGACACCATTACCACTAGCTTTGTCCTTAGTGAAAACTTGTTAGAGGACTTGTTAACTTTAGAAGTTAAATACAAGCCCTGGGTGCAATAACTTCCTCTTGCAGCTCTTTCTCCACATAGCATTGGGAATGAGGGGAATGGAGTATTCAAACCTTGCGTGACCTTCAGCCTTGACAAACCCAGAGAGTCAGCAAATAATTCTACAGCGTTAATCAATCATTCACTGCCAGGGTTCTGGTACAGCTTCTGTGGTCAAACTTGGTGTTCAAATCAGCCTTACAATAGGTGCATAAAAAGAAGGGCACCTGTAAGTGCCACAGTTCTGACAGCTGGGTTCATCATGTTACTTGCACATAGGGTGACCAGATCACCCAAGTCAAATATCGGGACGCGCGGGAGGGGGAGGGGGGGGTCGTGGCGAGGCAAAAAAACACACCAAAAAAAAACAACCCCACAACAACACACCCTTCCTCCCCAAGTGCTGGAGGGAGGCCCAGGAGACGCAGGGGGAGCGTGGGGCTGGGGTGAGTGAGAGTCCGGCCTGGCCCCGAGCAGGCAGGACTCAGTTGGGTGGTAGGGAGAGGAGGGGGGCGGCCCGCGGGACCAGGCGGCGGCTGTTCTCCCCCCTGGGCAGCGGGACTCGGGAGCAGCCGCTACTGCAGCTCCCACTGCCGCGGGGGAGGAAGTGGCCAATGGCGCTCCGCGGCTGCGGCTCTGGCGCCCCCGAACCCCCCGAGCCGGGGCCTGCTGCGGGGACCCAGCAGCGCGCACGC